TAACCTAATTATGTGCAATAATGGATTATATGCAATATAGATGAATTGAATTTGAAAAATTGAAAATAAATACAATGTATCAAAATACAAACTAGAGACATGTCATAATAGATCATTTTCATCTTAAGTAAATCAACAATGTTTTTGCGGCAATTTTTAAAATCAACTTGAGATTTTTCTATTTTATTTTGTATAATTTTAACACATTCAACATTATGGATAAAAATAGTGAATTTTATATGGTGTTTTTTGAAGACTTAGAATAAACAAAAGAAATTTACAGATTTTTTCGAAAAAAGACCCCAGAATGACGTCAAAATCTATGTTCATCCATTAATAATCAGTCGTCTTTAGTTAAATTTGTAACGTAGATAAATGTGGGTAGAAAAAGCAAATGTCGATAAGATAGCTAGGGTACAAAGAACTGCTCGGGGCCCCAATCTGGTTTGCCCTCCCTCCGGTCGTGGGTTCGGGGGTAGTACCCACTCACAGCATTTGAAATATAATTGTATTGATAACTATGACAACGTAAAAAATTAAGGACAAAAGAAATGCAAAACTTTATTATTATGCAAACTTATAAACAAAACAATATTTTAGTACAAAAATTATATTATAGACACTGTTATCGACTAAACTATATAACCATATGTACTTATACAAAAACTTATTATATAGAATTTTGGGGTTTAAATCTGTGCAGAATTATTTTTATAGGAAATGATATTTAAACTATATTTTGAAAATTGAGTGGTATTGAAAAATAAAAATAAATTTAATTGGAAAAATGGTGTAAATATATAAATCATTACACTAACGACATTTTAAGGATATTTTATGATTAGGATATTTTATGAGTAGGATATTTTATGATTCTGCAAAAATATCTTTTTGTTTTTTAGAGGAATTTCTTATCGTAATTTTCACGTATATAGAATATTGAGTAATTTTTATTTTCAGTTGCTAGCATAACTGAGGAACTTAGGATATAATTGTTTGAAGATTAATTTTAGGATTTAGCCATAACGTGAAATAAACAGTGTTGATTACTAAATCATTCTCTTTTGTTTGTGTAAAAACTGAAAGAGTTTGGTTGATTTAAACAAACATCAAACACTTTCTTTCACTTTCTCTCTCTCTCTCTCTCCCTATCTATCACTCTCTCTCTCTCTCTCTCTATATATATATATATATATATATATATGCATATATATGCGTGTGTGTGTGTATGCGTGTGTGTGTTGAGAGGTGTTATACATAGAGCATACGCGTATAAGACTGTGACATTTACATATTTACATTCCCGTAATTTTTTTCGATCAAGTATGTACATATTCGCACCTCCCTAAATATACGACCACACACACACACACACACTTATACACACACACACACTTATACACACGCACACACGTGTGTGTGTGTGTTTGTGTATAAGTGTGTGTGTATGTCTGTATGTATAGATGTTATATATATATGTATATATATATATGCATGTATGTGTGTGTGTGTATATGTGTGTGTTAATTTCTTGATACTATAAACATTAGTGAACACACGTGTTTGAGTAGACATCTCTGCTTTTGAAATGACCGTAACGGCCTTGGTTTATAGACGATCTTTAATGAAGGATATGTGAATCCTTGATAGGGTCAAACCTGTGTCCCCTGTATATAATGAGTGAATTACACACACACACACACACACACACACACACACACACATATATATATATATATATGTGCGTGTTTGTGTGTCTGTGTCTCTGTGTGTGCGTTTCAGGTTTAAATTTGGGTGTAAATAAAATATATTTGCAAAGGCAACATAATAAAAGACAAAAGGATTAATTTTCTTTTACTATTTATATATATATATATATATATATATATATGCATGTATGTATATATATATATATATATATATATATATATATATATATATATATATATATATATATATATATATATATATATATATATATATATATATATATATATATATATATATATATATATATATATATATATATATATATATATATATATATATATATATATATATATATATATATATATATATATATATATATATATCCTCTGACGAGTGAACGAATTGATTGCCAGAAGGGTCCGTTTACCAAATTCTGGAGTCGGGAAGCTGAAGGCAACACCAGTCAGCTAAGTGATTTTATGTATTAATTATATATATATATATATATATATATATGCAAGCATAAATAAAATACTTTTAATATTTCGATTATTAATCTTTTGTTTCCACGTGAAAAGTTGCAAAAATCATAGTTTAGGGAACTGTGAAAAAGGATTGTTATCATTTTTTTAAAAATTGCTAATTTTCCATTTATCAGTGAAGTGTCTCTTTTATAATTTTATTTTTCATTAATTACTGACCAATCAGCATCTGACGATAAAGGAACGTATCCATTCGAGAGAAGGAATATCTATAAATAAATAAAAAACGGCTAATTTTGTTTCTCATAGCATTTAATAGTGACTGTTTATAAAAATCAATTTTAGATATCAAGGTGTACACGTACCTACATGCACGCAACACATACACTCGAGTGAATTTGTGTGTCTCTTCGTGTTAGAACAAAAAGAATCAGGTAAATACATCAAATATTTACCATAAATGAATGATTCTTTTTTTATAGAAAAGTAATTTTATTATTTATAGTAGAATATGAAAACGGATATTATTTGAAAGCAAATTCTGCAACATTGAAACTCTTCTGAAATAATAGGAATACACGACCTAAAAATGCAAGCATATTTTTAAGAAATCATTATAAATGGAACATTTTAAACAAATTATTATTTTTGGATATTTTTAAAACAAATTATTATTATTGGAAATTTTTCGAATAGTACATTTAAATAAAGATTGGGTATGCAATGTTATAAATACTTATAAAATCACATTTTCCAGATTAGAGACGTTTTCTTTAGTAACGACATGGAAAAGATCTCTATTCCGATTTGATTGTTATTTCTTTTCATGGGCAGAACAAAAACTACAAGAAAAAGTCGCTAAAAGACTAAAGCTGGGCAAAAATGCTATTTCCAAAATTGTGTAAAATCATACGAAAGGTGGAAATGTAGAAGGTATGCAGAAGCAATTATTTCGACTATGGATGATACCACCAAGGTGGATTTGTTTTATTGAGGGGGGGATGGGTTTAAGAAATGTAAAGAAAATCTGCTTCGAATGTTGTTTATGATGTCAAAGAAGTGGCTACCATGAAAGTTTTTACTACAATAATTAAACGTTCTTTGAACAAAACGATTATTGACATTATTTAAATCGAAACAGAAAGAGACCAGTTTAATATTTTCGCCGAAAAATAAGTATAACAATTTTTTTTTTGGTGGGGTTGGTGTAGCGTACTATGGATGAAATAAAAATGAACCTATTTGGATCTGATGGCATTCAAAGTATTTGGTGTCTTGAGTGAGGTGTAGAAGAAAAAATATTTTTTATATCAACAGTTACGCATAGTGCTGTGATTGTATATACTTCATTGACATTAGATATCTTTATTTCATCGACAGATTCATGAAAGCTGAAGGTTACTGCCATATATTAAAAGAAAACATGTTCCTTTGGATGGACTATGAGACAATGATTCAATATAGTCCCTTAAAAACAGTAAAACAAGGCAAAAGATGAAAATGTTTCATTTGTCTATCGTATCGGCGAATTGAAATCAAATTGCATTTTGCAGAATGTCCCCAAACGGATGTCAGAAGAACGATAGCCATCCAGAAAGGCAAATTTAAAAGAATATATATCGTCATAATGGAAAAAAAAATCATGAAAATGTATAAATCTATTGAAATCAATGTCAGCAAAACTACAAGCAGTAATAAAGACTAAATATTAATTTTAAATAAACAATTTGGTGGGTAGGGAATAGCTATATATTCTTATTTTTGCCAATAGAGTTTCAATGTTATTTTGTTAATATTCATTTTGTGTACTGTTCCACCAGAAATAAGTTCTTGCTATGTATGATTTAGAAGCAAAAGCTGTAAGGTAAGACTTTGCTCATTTATAGGTGATATTGTATATATAAAAAAACACAACATGCATATATACAATTATCTAGTTTTAAAACAGTGGGTTTTAATATAAATAATTTGAAATAAAAAAATAATTCGTTATTTTTTCTTTGTAATTTTTAAAGTATCGATAAAATAATTTTACTGGTACATTATCTCTTATTGAAAACCATTAGAACGGGACACTTTTCGGACTTTGGAACTTTTCAAATTTCAGAATAGAGGTACGTATACTGTAAAACTGGATAAACAATATGGCCTTGTGTTAGCAAATGATAAATACTCTACAGTGTCGCTTTTGAATATTCATACTGAATCGGGGAAATTAAGACGAAAAATATTATTGCAGTTTATTTTGTACAATGGTGGATGGAATTACATACAAACAGACCATAAAATAATCGAACATTTTTTTGATTTTCGAAGATTGTTTTCAGAATTTCAATATAACAGCGCCTGTATTAAAATTGCTTTTAAAAGCATCTTTATATATCTGCAACCATATATTTAATAATACAGGGTGAAATAAAAGTCGCGTATCATAGGGATGATTTATTAAAAGTATACTTACACATGAAAATTTTATTTACCAGTTATTTGTTATATATGCCGTTCAAAATGTCTTCCTCCTTTTTATTCAAACAAAACCCATGATTCATTAACACATCAGAGAGTTTCCTCTGTCATTTTACTGCATTCATATTTAATTCTTTCTTTAACTTCCTCAATATTTCTGGGGTGTGTCTGATAAAAAACTGATTTCAAATGGCTCCACAGGAAAAAAAATCCAAGGTTGTGAGGTCTGCTGACCGCGGTGGCCACACAACAAAACCTTTTCGACCTATTTATTAACCCCCATGGAATGTGACTATGCTTCACCCCGTATATAGAGTTAAATCGTTATGTATGTATGTATGTATGTCTATCTGTCTATCTGTCTATCTATCTATCTATCTATCTATCTATCTATCTATCTATGTCATTCTGTTTACCTTTCTTTCCATCTTTATCTACGTGTCTTATGAAGTTATGTATGGGAGTATTATTTATTTATTATCGTGTGTATTTCACTTAATATTTCTAAAATGTAATATTTAAATGGCGCTTTTGTTTATGGAAATTTTCTTTAAAAATCTTATGAATATAAACTTGTTTAAAATAAACAGATGTATTCCATTAATTCCATTATTTTCAGAGTATAAAGTTTCAATATTAAACAATTAACAAAATCTCATTTATTACATTTCTCAAGTTATATCATAAAATATTAAACTAATATTTCTACAATTAACCATTTTTCGCTTGCATGTATTCAACAATTTCAAACATTTATCAATTGTTTGCGCATTAAAGACATTAAAACAATCACATTTAGGCAAATAAATTTAATACAAATATTCATGTATTATATTTACACATTATAACTTATTAAATTGTTCACAATAAATTTGAGATAAATATATTCTATTCATGAATCTTTCCTAAGATAACAACTAATTTGATGATAAAAGGCAAAGAAAATAATTTTTATTCTAAAATAGGTTTATAAACAAAAAGAAAATATTGGTTCAATTAATGGTTACGTTTTTTTTTTTAAATTTCATTTAATATTATATTGGAGATAAAATCCAATCAAATCAGCTAAATAAATATTTGAAGTATAAGATTAAGCAGTAAAATTCATGCTTTCTCTCTTTTCTCTCTCTCTCCATATATATATATATATATATATATATATATATATATATATATATTTATATATATATATATATATATATATATATAATATCCATTTTTCCTTACCGATAGCCCAACTCTGAGCGTGCATGGAACCCAGATTTGTGCCAAGTGATGAAAAAAATCTGTATTTATTATTAATATAAATTATTATCACCAACACTGCAAATGTGCAATATATATATATATATATATATATATATATATATATATATATATATATATATATAGTGCACAGATATATATATATATATATATATATATATATTGCACATTTGCAGTGTTGGTGATAATATATATATATATATATATATATATATATATATATATATATATATATTAATGTGAGAAAAAATTAAATTTTTAAAATGATTTAATCACCAGTCTTAACATTCGACTGAAGAGGTACGACGTTCTAATATCTAAAATAATAATAATAATAATATATATATATATATATATATATATATATATATATATCAAAGATGTAATATAAAAATATCTCTATCCCACTAATCATGGGTAAGAATGACAGAATTATTCGCGCGTTTTGTTCCGAAAAGCAACTTCTTCAGAATAATAACGGCCTTTATTGATGGGATTAGCCTGATATCTAAAAAGGGAAAAGGGCAGAGGAAAAACTAAAACAAACCGTGTTTACAGTCTACATTTAAAAGTTAACAATAATCTTTTAAATTTAAACTTTTAAGCAAGCTTTTAAATTTAATTAAAATTTTGATGTCTTTTATATTTAGTTGCCTAACGTCGTTTTTGTTTCTATTTTTATCGTTATTTATTATTATAATATATGTTTATGCTTTAAAATTTTATATGAAACGATCGGATGTCTAGCCACACTGATGAGTTGTGATACAGCGAAACAGTCTGTTTGTGAATGACTATATATATATATATATATATATATATATATATATATATATATATATATATATATGTTATGTCTATATGGATGCATGTATATTCAGGCAGCATATCTTCATTCAAACATGTTTCATTAAATAATATAGATATATTATGTCTATTTATTTTTTATAGTAATCCTTTCCAATTCTCAAATAAGTTTCTTGATGATCTTGAAGAAGGTGGGGTAGTTTTTTCCTACCCTAGTACTTTCGATCTCCTCTGAGATTATCATCAGAGGTGAATTACAAAGACAAACATATTGTAACCGTGATCGTTGTGTTGGTGATTGTTAAAAACACGTGCGAACGCGCTCTGTTATAACTCTTTAAAAATTTAAATTTATCCGTTGTAGCTATGAAATTTTTGCAAACCACGCTTCTCAATGTATAGTAGCTAAATGTCCAACAAAATAAAAAAAGAAACAAAAAATACATACCGACTTTTTGCAATTAAACATTAGGTTATAATTCATGAATACCCCACAATGAACAGTGATAGATTTTGAAAGCGTGGCTTCGTTACTGTTTATTGAAACCACACAATGCATCATCTTATTGATCCTAGCACTTGAAACCTAAAGACCCAGAATGCGAAAGTTTACTTGCAAAGGGTTGCTGTGTTTTTAGTTCGATTACTTACACACACACACACACACACACACACACACACACACACACACACACACACACACACACACACACACACATATATATATATAGATATAGATAGATAGATAGATAGATAGATAGATAGATATATTAATTTTTACATATTAGAACAATTTTATGAAAATCTATGTAAAAGTGTGTGTGTGTGTGTGTGTGTGTGTGTGTGTGTGTGTGTGTGTGTATATACAGGGTACAAAAGTAACGCCATTTTCTTTTCGAGGTGAGGTGGATCAAACGACGTGGATCAATTGAGTTTCCATTCAAATCTCCAGAACTACACACCACCAAACTTTTTCTTGTCAGGTGGACTGAAAGATTTAATTTAGAAGCTCAGACCGAAAACTATTTCTGGATTAAAACAAGCAATTTCGGTTACATTTTTTTAAAATTCGGTGTTGTATATTAATAAGCTTCATTTTGAAAATGTTAAATTGTTAATCATGGCGAATGATGTTGTTTTGATGTGACATTACTTATAAATTTTCTTAAATTTCTGTCGTTTTTGTTCAATAAAAGTTAATAAATATAAATTTTTCAGCACCTTTTTTTATATATATATATATATATATATATATATATATATATATATATATATATATATGTATATATATATATATATATATATATATATGCGCGTGTGTGTATAGATACACATGTGTGTGTATGTATGTCATTTTGTAATCTGAAACAAATTAATTATAAAAAAACTTATGAAATTACATTATGCTTATTCAATAAATATTTTGTTATTCAAAGATATTTTGTCAGTCAAAGAACCGTCGACGCTGTGTTTAGGAAATAGGAAGAATTCTTAAGATGGTAAGGTTTTACGATTATGTATTTGTAATTGTTGAGATATTAGCAAAATTAATCAGGAAATGTAACATCGCCCGGCAGCAATAAATAATAATAATATTAATAATAATAATTTTGCAGAGGACACGTGTCGTTTCTGTCCACACGTTGGGCAGAGTATTGATTCCTTACTATTAAGTGATCTGCACTAGCATCAAATGAATTTAAAATAAATATAATTGGGTAGGGCAATATCTTCCTTAGAATATATGCCAATACTATAACCTACTTACCACAGAAAATTTTTTTTTAGCAAAAATCACTAATAATTCTAGAAAATAATGGTTAATATTATTTGGGCGTTCACTGAGCGCGCACTGAGCTAATGTCATAAAAGATGCGAAATAATATAGATGCTATTTTATCAATATAATCATACCATGTGACAAAAACATTTCAGGAAATGAATATAAGTTCCCTAAAATAGAAATTGCAAGAAAATGATATTTAAACATTATTTCAGTTGACGTGAATATTTAGAAGAATACTGACAGACATTTAGAAAATCTATGGAATTATATTTTTATCTGAAATATAAACGCGATTCCGTTAATGAATACAACTTAGATATTTAGAAGAAAAAAAAAACACTCTTTCAGTCGAAAATGTTGAATAACTTTCTAAAAAACTCTTCATTTACTTTAGGTTTTATATGGGGGATTTGAAAACAACAGCATCTTACAAATGAACGATGACAAAAATAATTGTTTAAAATGATGTGCTGTTTTTTTTTCTTTTGCATATTAATATTACCCTTAGTTTAGTTTGGTTGATTTTGTTTAGCGGCATATCAATCGCTATGGGTTATTTAATGCTGAAATTAACTATTTTGAACACAGTTTTATGTCTTCCACAACAGAAGATGTATTGGTCATTTTGTAATAAAATTTATTGCTGGTCATTTTTATATATATATATATATATATATATATATATATATATATATATGTGTGTGTGTATTGCTGTTATTTTTACTATTAAAAAGTATTTTTATACTTCCATAGCGTTTTGTTTGTTTGGGGCTCTTAAGGTAGAGAATTGTCTTAAAAGTTTTTTTTCGGTGCGACCATTTCAAATGCATACTATGTAGAAAAAGTTTGAAGAATGAGTGAGCGAATGAATGAATGAGTAAATAATAATAATAATAATAATAATAATTGTTATTATTGTAATAACAGCAGCCGAGATTAAAGTATTTTTTTTTTTACTTTTAATAAAATCTGAAAATACGGATTGCTTGTTGTTGTGTATTAGTATGTAAATACTGAACCAGACAAACGCTTTTTTTCGTTTTTGATGACATCATTATATTCGACAACAATTAAAAAGACAACAAAATATTAATAAATACGGTCTGGTATCAAACGGAAGATGCATATTCTTTCCAAAGACAGACTTATTTTATTGGAAGATGTTTGTCACAAAATCACCCAAATTAGATTAACGATGGAGCTGTGTTAAATTTACGGAAGATCATTCAGGACAATTATCAACCAACAAATGAAAAAGAAAATGGAAAAAAGATCGTATAATTCAATCGCATCCAATATTATTATGAGAAAGAAGAAACCAATCGATAACAAAAGGGGTCAATGAGAAGAGGTTAGACGTTTGACAGCGGCAATGAAAAAATAAGAAATAGAATTATGATGACGAATAAAGATAAATATGAAAAAAGAAGGATACAATAAGCCAATGACAGGGAAGAGTAAAACTTGTTAGTTGAATAGTGCGAAATTACCTTTTGTAAGTGAAGAAGAGATCATGTTTTGCGTCCTTTAAGGTCTCATGTCGAGCGTGTGAGTGGACAAGCTGACCAAAATGAAAGAGAGAGAGAGAGAGAGAGAGAGAGAGAGAGAGAGAGAGAGAGAGAGAGTGTGTGTGTGTATGAGAGAGAATGATAATGGTCAGCGGATGCAGCAAATTACATTTCCGAGAGCATCCTGTTTGATGTCAATGAAGAACCGAACAGCTGTCCATCTTTTCTCCGAATCCCCAATCGAATTGACACCAATGCAATAAACGTGTGTTACAATTAACACTGGCATAGGTAAGACAGCATGTCAAAGGAAACATAGACTTAGATACTCACGCCAATAAGCACACATAGAGCCCAAAGTTCCACGTACATCCATCATCATAGAGATAGGTATATATATATATATATATATATATATATGTGTGTGTGTGTGTATCCGTGTTTGATCTCTCAATGTATACTGTAATGTTTGGATGAATGTGCATGTGCGCAGAGTGAGAGAGAGAGAGAGAGAGAGAAAGAGAGAGTAAGAGAAACAGAGAGAGAGAGAGAGAGAGAGAGAGGGGGGGCGATACCAAAATAAAAGAGTGCATGATAGGTGTCAAAATAATATGTCGACTTACCCAAATACTTTGCACTGTTAAATCCATTAGTTAGACCTGTATCAGTCCCCCTCGGAGAAGGATTGTCCCCAAGGGTTTGTCCTTCGTGGGAGGCCAGGAGGCCGTTGATGCTGTAGGAACCCTGCATACTGTGTAGATGTGGCGATTCTGCTAGAGTTCCCGTGCAGGGTGGAGGTCGTTTAGAACTGGAACATGCGATGCTGCCTCTCGCGTCCTCTGAAATGCTTACGTTACCACTAATAGAACAGTCTTGTTTTTCCATCTTCCCGATCTGTTCGTTCAGTCTCTCTTTTCTTCTTTTGCTGACAACCAACACCTTCCCTCCTTCCCTTCTTTCATTCCTTCCTTCCTTCCGTCCTTCCTCCTTGTTTATACTTCTCTAGGCCTGCCTCACTCCTCTTTCTCCTCCACGTTGTAAAACTTTAAAACCCCCTCCCCACTCTATCACATACGTGCACACACACACACACACACACACACACACACACACACACACACAAGCGTGTGAGACCACTCTCATCCTCAATCTCCTCCTTCCGCTCCTTCTTACCCTCCCTCTTAGTCCATGCTCCCTCTTTCTTTTTATGCATCTATACTACCAACCATCCCCACTCATCCCTCCTCAGCAATTTCATTTCGGTTTACCAGAGATCTCTATCACCTTTCCTGTGTCTAAGTGTCTACTTTCACTTTCACTTTCACTTTCACTTTCACTTTCAAAACCCAATTTACTTTTTCTCGAAGCATGCCGTTCTCTTTACGGATTTCTTTTCTTTTACTTAGCGTTTTTCAGCCGCTTTTTTCCTTTTCTATTTTTTTAAATATCATCTTTCATCTTTCACCGTCCACCCTTTCAAATCTTTCTACCTGTTTTCATCGATCTTTTGTTTCTGTTATCATTACTCTCATCCAAATATTACTTTCTCTTTATTCTACTCACCTTTTTAAAGGGTATAAATTTCTCTCTGATATCTTCTCATTCTGTTTTCCTTTTGTTGCATGCTTCTCTTTCGCTTTTCTCGTAAATACATTTTCTTTTCTCCTGAATAGATCCGCATTTCATTTGTTATCTTATTTTTTTATTTTAAATATTTAACTCTATATTTTTAATTTCTTTACTGTCATTATTAATTCCAAATCTACTTCCTGTGTTTCTTGCTAAATCCTAGAGATAGTCGAATTTTTTTCCAGTTGTCTTCGCTCTTTTATTTTTTTCTCCTTTTAAAGTTTTGAATTTCTTAATTTTCTTGAGAAAATTGTATTCTTTCTTTGAAAACATTAAAATACAATTTACGTTGTGATTAAAATTGAATTGCTAAAATTTATTTTACCAATTCAATTTTAATCACGACTTCTTTATCACCTTGTTCCTTTTTCTTTTGAAATTTCAAACAGTCTATCTCGTTTCTTTCATTTTTATTACTTACCCATTCATATCTTATTATCAATATTTATACGTGATCTTTATTACCTTATCAATTTTATTACTTGGTCATTCATATTGTCAGTATAATTTCTTGGTCATTTATATGTTATTGTCAATATTATTTTCAGCAGACTCAAAATTTTGCTCTATTTTTCGTTGCATTTTCGCCATTTTTTTTCTTTTCAACACACTAAAACCTCTTTATTTCTTGCTTATGTTCCCTTTCTCCTAGGCTTTTTCTATTTTTCTCAATTTTCAAATCTCTCCATGTTTTAAATCACTTTTATCACATTGCAAAGATCTTTCCTTCTCATAGGGCAACATTTTTCTCTTTTCTTCTTCTTCTGAACTTCTTGAGATCTATTCTATTTCAAACTTTTCATTCATTTAAACTCTTTTTTTTCAACACTTATCTCTTCCTTTCTCTACATTTGATTGACACACTTTCCTTCTTTTCTTTTTTACTTTTAAATTAACTAAACCATGCGAAATTTCTTTTCTCAACCGCATTTTTTCTTCTCTGTTGGTCTCATATTGTCATTTTAATCTCTTATCAAGCCCCTCTCCAAATGCCATTGTTCTTTTCTTTTCTTTTAAAATGATTATTCACGTTTTTCTTGACGTTTCAAAACTCTCGATCATCGCATCTTTCTCCTTTCCTCGTTTACTGACCGCTCGTGTCATTTGGCGCTGAGGCTTCCGTAAACAGTTTTAGCCTAAATTTCCTTTGGCCACATCTTTAGTTACCTTGTTTTTGTCTTGTTACTGGCACATAGAAAGAAATATTGTGCACTCATGTCTCAGTGGAGCTTTCATTTCTTACTATTTTTTTTAGTAATATTGGATTTAGTATAAGCGGTACATCCCTTAAGCTAGGTTTATCGGTTGCCTTAAGAAATATTGTTAGGTTTCCAAGATTTGATATTGGTTTGGTAACATTTAGGGTCTTATGCCAAACTTAACCTGTTTCGCATAGTGCAACACCTCAAAGAGGATTAACTGCTTGCAGGAAACAAGTATTGTGTCTTTTAAATTTTAATTTTCTTACTTTTTTCTTCTTTTATATTTTTTTCATCATTATTTTTATATTTTCTTTCACTCATCAACTAATTTTTGTTTATTTCAAGTTACGAGTTTCAAAATATTTACTTCATTATCATTTTATTTATTCCGAATTCTTATTTTTTAACACCTTAAATTCTTTTCCACTCCCTGGTCCTTGTTTATTCCTATCACTTGTACAAAGGCTGAAACCCTTTTTCCCTTGAAGAGTAATTGCCTATAAAACGAAAGAAAAAGAAAACTTCTTATTGACTTTTATCGTAGGTAATACTTTTGGATTTTTTCAATTTTTTAAAATTGTATATTTTTCCATCTTGTGCTTTCATCTTTCTTTTTTTCTTCTTTCTTTCTTTCTTTCTTTCTTTCTTTCTTTCTTTCTTTCTTTCTTTCTTTCTTCATCCGCGTTTTTTGTTAATTTGTTTTTCGTTATCTTCTTTCTTTTTAGTAAGATTTTTCTTCTATTATACTAATAGCTTTCCTTCCTTCATTTCTTCTTTCCTTTGATAATCTTTTACTTCCCTTTTTTGATAATTTCTTTCTTTTATCTTACAAATTTATCCTTCTTTTCTCTTTTATAAAAATGATATTTTAGAACACTTACAAGTTTGTCTTTGTCGTGTTCCTTATTTTTCTGTTCTTTTAACTTTTCTTCTTTTCTTACGTCTTACAGAAATAGGCTCCTCTCTTTTTGTTATGAAGCTTTGTCTTGTTCCTTTATTTGATTCTCACATTTTAATATTTCTCTAAACATCATCCCAAGCCTCATTTCTTCGCATTTTTTTTCCTTTCTTTTTCACGACGTTTTTCTCAATGATTTCCCTCGCCATTTCACTTTCCTTTCCAACAATTTCCCATAAACTACCGCTCCTCTTCCTCCTCTTCCTCTTCCTTCTCCTCTTCCTCTTCCTCCTCCTCTTCCTCTCGAAGATCTCTTTCTTCCGTTTGTGCAGGCACTTTCCGCACTTGCTTCTTATTTTTTATTATCTATTTTGAAATTTCTTTCATTTCACATTTTTTTCATTCAGTTGTAATTTTCTGTTATTCAACAGCCCGACATTTTTCTTTCCTTTTGTTTTGAATATCTTATATATCGTCGTCTATCCCGGGCTTTACTTAATTCATATTAGTTTGAAACAAGGTCATACTTTAATCTATTATTCGTCAACGAATGTATTAGATATTCTTTCTTTCTTTCTTTCTTTCTTTCTTTCTTTCTTTCTTTCTTTCTTTCTTTCTTTCTTTCTTAGTCATTTTCTTCCTTTCTTTAATTATATTTTTCTTTGTTAGTCTTTATCTTTTTCTTGCTTTTTCTTTTTTTTCTCTCTTTCTTCCTTTCTTACTTTCTTGTCTAAACTTTTTCTTACTCTTTTTCTTTGTTTATAATTTAAATTAATTTTTCCTTCAACTTTCTCTTCATCCGTTTCATTCTCTTTATCTTTCACTTTATTTTCATCTCGTCTCTTTTTTCTTAAATTCCAAACCCTAGATTTTATTTTAAACAATTCTTTTCTTTCTTTTCTCTCTCTCTCTCTCTCTCACTCTCTCTCTCTCTCTCTCTCACTCTCTCTCTCTGTTCGTTTATTTCTCCTTTTCTTTTACAAATTCTTTCATTCTTCTTCTTTCTTTATTAACCTAAATTTTTTCATTTTCTTTTTTGGCTCTTCCACTTGTTTCTTTTTTATCTGTTAAATTAATTGTTTCTTTTTCTCCGTCGAAAACTATTTGTTTCTTTTTCTCCGTCATAAACTATTTGTTTCTTTTTCTCCGTCATAAACTATTTGTTTCTTTTTCTCCGTCATAAACTAACCCCTTTTTGTTCCCTCTGTCTTCATTTGTCTTGTATTTTTCTTTCCAAATATCTTTCTTCTCCGTTAAAACCCTTTCTTCTTTAACCGTGGCTAAATTTCTATGACGCAATTGATTCCCCTTCTTTTTCATCAGTTCTCTTCTCGTTACTATCCACTTTTCTTCAAAAGACCCTCCCCAGCTGTCCAACCTCCTTCTCTTCACTCCCCCTCCACCAGTCCTTAAAAAATCAATAAAAAATAAAAACAAAAGAAAAAAAAAAGCACAAAACAAACAACAAACAGAAAAATAGGACTTATTAGTTCTTCATTTCAGTATCGGTGTCTGTGTTGGGTGGCACAACCCGTCTTGCCTCCCTCCTCACACCCGCTTCTCGCAACGGACTTAATAGTCACCCATTAGCGACTTTCCAAAGGCTTCACCTGGTCGACACTGCGATGATGACGGCGACGACAACAGCAATGCTACAAACGACGATGGCGTCTCACCGACCAGTTCGCCAATCACGACCAGAAACACGTTTGCATAACGCTCGCCCACTGTCGCTTGCAAGGTCCATGCAAACCATCTTTCCATTTATTTGCTATCCATCTTTTTCAAAATTTCTGCCTTCCTTTTTCTTCTTGCTTTCCTTTCTTTCAATCTTGCTTTTTCAACGTCTTCCCACGACCGGTCGCTGTCAACCCCTCACACCTTTCTTTATTACCTATACTACCATCGCTTCACTATTGCCACCACCATCACCCATTTAACTGTCATAAACCACCACCACCACCACCATCATCTATGAGTTTTTGTTTCTTTTCATCTATCTTTATTTTTCATCATAATCATTACATTAATAATAATAATAATAATAATAATAATAATAATAATGATGATGATGATGATGATAAGTGCGATCGTCATCGGTAATGTTTAATTTGAATCGCCTTTAATCTTTCCATCATCAAGATTGGTGATTGTGATGATGATGATGCTGCAGCTGCTGCTGCTGATGATGATGATGATGGCGGTTTTAAATTTTCTTTTCAATCATCATCATCATCATCATCATCATCATCATCATCATCATCATTCTTTTCTTCCGCTCGTCTCCTCATTTCGTTCAATTTACATCCGATATTCTTCACTAGCTTAAAAAATTTACCCTATTTTATCGGCACCGCCACGACCGCCATCCTCTGACCTGCCACTTGTACCAGTTTTCTCTCAGGCCTGAACTCTTCTTCCTCCTCTTGCTATTCTCTTCTCTTCTTTTACTTATGTTTTATTCGACGTTTGCCATCATGATTATAATTACCGCAAGTTTCTTTTTATCACTTTCTTGCCTATGCCCATAGCACAGTGGTTAGCGCAAAGATTTTTCATCGGTTTGCACAGAAAGTGAACTACTTTTGCCAGATTTGTTGTGAAAGCAACAAATAAAACTATTACTTTTTGTCTTCCTATATTTTCCCCATTATTATTATTATTATTATTGTCGTCGTCGTAGTCGTTTTTACAACTGTCTATTTTCCTTTCGAACGGTCCTTCGTCAATCAACTTCCTGTTATAAGACACTGCCATCACCACCACCACCACAATCATCACCACTGATAACAGTAGCGACAGCAATTATATTTCTTTTCCCCACTGTCTTTTTTGCACGCCTTTACTTTCGTTGCTTGTCATCATCATCATCATCATCATCATCATCATCATCATCTACTCTTTTAACGTGTTTTCTCTTTTTGCTTTTTTCATCTCTCTTTCTTCATCATTCTTCATCCGCCATTTTCTTTTCAACTCCTTTACCACCCCCAATGCTTTAATTTTCCTTGTCTTCTTTTTCGACACCATCACCAGCATAGACCCCACCATTGTCACAACCATTAAAAAACATTATTTTTCCTTCTGTCATTTCAAAGTTACGTTCTCTTTTTCTTTGCCTCAACCGACATTTTTATCTCTCTCCCTTTTTCTCTCCGAACACCCGCTTTCATTCACCATTCTCTTTTCCCCACTTTCCTTACTCTATACCCCCATCTACGTTTTTCTTTTTCACTCTCTCTTTTATCTCCCGCCTTCCATTTCATCAAACCTATCATCATAATCATCATCACAATCGCCATCACTTCATCTCACCTTCTTTCCCTTTCCCCCTGTTTCTCCTCCCACTTTCTTCAATATACTTATCCTTTCCTCTACATCCTTACCCCCTCTCTCTTCAAAAACTACAAGGGCTTCTCCCATATACTTCCTTAGCTGTCGAAGCCAAACAGGTGCAAGCCAGCAACTCCTTGTCCAAAGTTATGCCATAGACGAAGTCTTTAGCTTCACAGCAACGAAAGAGAGCGATTTGCCGCTCTCAGCTTCGCGCGGCTGTGTACGCGTCTGTCAATGGTGGCTGTGCGTGTGTGTGCAAGGATGTTGTACAAGTGCGTATTTGCTCTTCTATGCACTCTGTATGGAAGCATACGTGTGGATTTTGATTGACTGGGACGAAGTTAGTTCTGACACAAGGCAACATTTACAGAGTATTCACTTTGAAAGACTTTTACTATTTATGACTCGTGATAAAAACACGCTGACAACGTGAGTGGTATCGAAATGCCATTTACGTAGGTATTAATTTTGAGGATTGCTTACACGTGTGTTTCTGCTTATGTAAATATTTAGGTAGCCGGCATGAGGCCACAATATTGAGCATTCCCTGAAGATCGAGTAACACTATTGAATGGTCTGATTACTAAGTTTAATAAGCACCACTTTGGGTACATCGAGGCGGTGTAATGGTTAACAAGCTTGTCTCGCTAGAACATTGATGACTGAATAGTGAGTTCTATCCTCACTGGGTGCCCCATACTTTCGGCCTTGTGCCACATTTAAGCTACGCTTGGAAAATTACTAATACGCACCACTTTTAGTTTAGCTTGTTTATACACGCACACATATATATATGCATTAAGAAATATACATAATAACTTACATTATGAATATGTCTTTATATATATATATATATATATATATATATATATATATATATATATATATAAATTAAATAGCTCTGTTATTTAACATTGAGCTCTGTTTTTTCTTACACTAAAGAGTACTTATATGTATTCGTATACGATCGCTTGCTCGGGAACCCTAACCCATTATTCGGTTATATATATATATATATATATATATATATATATATATATATATATATATATATATATATATATATGTGTGTGTGTAGTGTATGTGTGTGTGCGTGCGTGCGTATATATAAGAGTCACAGTATACATATCTGTAGTCTGTAAGAGTGTAATATATAAATAATACGTAACTACGTGGATGAAATAGTCGATATATATATATATATATATATATATATATATATATATATATATATGTGTGTGTGTGTGTGTGTGAGTCTGTGTGTATATCTATGCAGTATGTAAGATTGTAATTTATACGTAATACATACTTGCGCAGATGAAATAGTCGATATATATATATATATATATATATATATATATAGGTTTCAAACCTACGACATATCGCACCGTTTAACATGTGATTTATCTGATAATAACCCAATTAACTCACATATCACATACGAACACAACCGAAAAATACAACATGAAATTTGACAAATTCTCATCCATAACACAATGGTGATGATTGTTGGCCGTACTGCCTATTTCCATATCTGCTGTGTTGTTTTAGCGTGAATAGAAGTTTATGAGATCATTTTTATCAGTAGATTTACGATAGACATTTAGTTTTCGATCATAATCTATACGACTTAATAATATGATAATGTTCATAGGTAATGAAATTGTTTGTTTTTGTTTGTTGTGTTCAGTGTTGTTTAGTTTATTTGCAAAATCAGGAAATATTGTTTCGCGCTGATAGTTTAATAAAGCATCGTCAATATATTGGAAATGGGTTGATTGTTTAGGTCAAATTCTTTGGAATGGACCAATCTCTAGAAATTCTAAGAAAGGACAAGCTAAAACATCGCTAAGAAACAATCCTATTTCTGCTTATATAAAATCATTATGAAAAGAGAAATAACATTGGTTTGTGATGAGTCGACAATTATATAATTTATAATTGTATCTATTGATAGGGAGAGGCTCATTTTTTATTTATTAGATTTTTTAAAAGATTCAAGCATTTATTGAAAGGAACGTTGGTATAAATGGATGTAATATTTAAACTTGCTATGAGTTTATTGGTCATATCTGTCTTAGTTTTCGACACGGTTGATGAAATTATAATATGTGAAAGGCTAATTGTCCTGTGTTTTGACTATGGTCTTCGCTAGACTTTCAATTTCAGATATGATGGCTCACATTACAATGCATGCTTTGTGTGTATTGTGGATCATAAATTTTTCGTTTTTTATATATATATATATATATATATATATATATATATATATATATAACGAAAAATGAATTCATATATTCCCCTCTCTAAAACTTCTCTCTGTTAATTTTTAATCCACCACCTTCTCTTGTCTGTTACCCCTCTCTATAGCTCTAACATTCGTCCCACACTCTCATACTTACACTCTCTCTAAATTTTATTTTTTATTTCCGGAATTGTTTTTTTCTGTTTTCTTTTTGAATTTGTAGGTCTGATGAATTGATCGGATTTACGATTCCAATGGAATAAATTATGACCATGGAATATTAGTGTTTTTTTTTTTTTTTATATATATATATATATATATATATATATATATATATATATATATATATATATATATATATATGCAATATTAAGTGAGAACATACGGAAAATTCGTCTCGTAATTTATAAAACATAATTCAATAAAACTCAAAAAAATAATTTTGGGGGAGAATTGGTGCTTGCATAATTTAATAAAACACATTATTTATTTCAGATTGGGTGGAAAAAAGATCTACACTTATTAAAAAAATACTTGTAATTTTTCAGTGCAATTTTGAAATTCACCACTAGAGTTTCTTTATTAAATGAAGACATCTTTGAAGATTAAGAAAAATGTAAAATTTAATGCCATTTTCGAATGTGGCTCTCTTTTAAAAGAAATTTATTTTATTTTTTCCTTTTAGCAACTGTTATATTATTTTTAGCATGAATTTACAAAAAGGACATAATTCTGATATCTAAACTGATTACTATTCAATATCGAAAGAGTATTATGAATTAATCTAATTTTTTATCTCCCGTTCATTCAAGTTTTGTGTCATGAAAGCACTGTTTTTCGATCCATTTGTACAGATGTTTTTTTCCGTGTATTTCTGTTTTCCTGTATTTATTTACAGTTTGCTTTATACAAGAATAACAAATACTTCAGTAATTAAATGTAAGTTGTTATTTTAAGTTGTTATTATTTTAAAAAGAAATCTTTGTCCTATTTGTTCTTGGATAATTTGTTCCCCTCCTCCGCCAAGGAAATTTTCAGAATTACAACGAAACTATTTCATTCGCATAAAAGAATACTTTGCACTGTAATTTTTCTAAAATTCTCTTAGAATAAATATTTTTCTTTTCACATTAATCAAACGCAAATTACATTTTCGCTATAGTTTGTTTTGGTAGCAATTAATGGCTACAAGTTTATTCATGATACTAATTTTACTAAAAGCGCGTGGAATAAAAATTATATTCTTAAACTATTGTTTGTATAAGGTTAAAGAAAATTTATTTTCAAATATAAATAAAAAATTCTTGGTTATTGTACTACTGATCTTCCGTATCTCTTTAGATCTTTTTTTTTTTGTTTTTTGCGCGCTTTTTCGGACAGGGGTAGAGTTATAGTGTTTCTATTTTGTCCTTTGTTCTTATATGTTACCGTGCATAAATAAAACAATATTTTCATGCTATTTAATTAAGAGATAAGCATTATTTTACAAAATCCAGTTAATTAATCCTTCAATTTATTAATAGACCCCGAAACATATCTCTTGGACAAATATTGGGTTTTAAAGTGAATTTTAATATTTATATCTTTTGTATACAATGACTGTTCGATGAGTCGATGACTTAAAAACATGCAAATGTTTTAAAAATGCCTAAAATGTTTATCTATATACGGAAATTAAATTTTCTTTTAATTTGGATTAGCTTTAGGGTATTATCTTACAAATAAAACTGAAGTTCAAGTTTAAAATGCGCTTTTCGTTTATATAGAAGGTCAGTGGCATTATAACTTGTTTTTAATAGAATCCGATTTTACTATGAACATAAAATGTAAAATAAATTTTTTTATAAAAAAATCAAAAAACTACATCCGCCATAAACATATTTTATTATCTCACTATCCCATATACCCAAATAGATGAGCGCTTTGGCGTTGTATAACGTTCACCAACCTTCCAACCATTGATATTGTTACATCGGTACGTATTAGATGAGAGGAAATGCGGTATATTTTGTATCTTATTTCATTGCTAATTCTGCTCTACATGTCATATAGGACATAAATGAATGGAATCGTTCGTTTATGTATATAAGCAGAATTAATTAAACGGTGTTGAGAAGAGTTAGCATTAAGTCAATTGTTAAGTCTACCTTTCTTTAGTAAAAACCTATTTTCATTACTTATCTATGAGTTTGTCTTCCTTATTTATTTCCCTCTGTTATCTCGAAAACACAAGATACAATAATACATCTTTCAGTATTATTCCAATAAGATCGTATATGTTTTTTTCACATAAAGCCTTTTTATATTCATGTTTTTTGATATATTATTTTCAAAGTCATAATTGATAGAAACAGGATTGAAATGGTTTAACCCAACTTTTTATACCTACGCATTGGTTTGAATAGGAAGTGAACATGTTTAAAATGATAAAACTTTTCGGTACCTCCATATATATTTTAATTGTGTGTCCCATGGTCGACCATGGGACACACAACAGTTTCCAATCGTACCGAATATCATTTTACAAATTCACTTAAAAGCCTTGACACAGCAGTGTTTATTGTCAAGGGAAACAGGTAAAAATCCTGGTGTACATGGTATTACCCAAACTTTGTGACATTGTGAGAATATTTTTCCATACTTTCCCTCTGGATTTCTGGGATGAGGAGTGATCATTATTTACTCTACTTATATTAGGACTATTGACACCATCTTTTTTTTATTGTTATTACAACGTTTCGTTCGTGTACTTTCTGGCCTTCATCAGTTATATATCGGTCTGGATAACCTACAGGGAATTCTGAATTGAACCCTTTATTTAATCTACGTGGGTAAACTGTTCTCGTTTCACTGCCAGGCTTACGGCCATATCACGTTGAAGCATCGGTTCTTATACGATCACCGAAGTTAAGCAACGTCATGTCTGGTCAGTACCTAGATGGTTGATCGCTTGAAAATGTCAGGTCCTGTAAGATTAGATGTGCGGGTGGTGTAATGGATAACGACTCGGAATTGGAAATCGGAGAACCAAGGTTCCAAATCCAATCGGTTTCGCTATATTCACTTACGCGCAAATACTCTTGGGAAATGTATGAATCCACATCTCCTCCCACCAGCTATGGGTTAATTAGTACGAATTGAATCAAAAAAAAATTCTTACAATCAAATAATATTTCCTGGCTTTAAATGACCTGCAAAAGGTTGATAAACTGTAAAAATATTAAATCAATCATTCTACTGCCTATGTTTAGAGATCTCTCGCCTAGTTCTTATTTTTAGTTCTGCTCAGTTATTGCTTGCACGTTTCGAATAAGTTCAACTACAAAGTGTCCGGCTTAGTAGTTGGATTGCGAGTTCAATTCCTGGGTCGGGCAGTGTATACTTGTTTTCTGTAATCGTAATAACGTTTCCATTATCTTTTCATCTCGTTTCACATACAATTCGTTTTTACGGCTTATCAACACTTTGAAGGTTATTTAAAGCCAGAAAATAATTTTACATTGTAAGAAGTTGTTTTTTTTAGATAATAATGATTTAGTGATAGAAAGTCTTACAAATTAACTCATAACTGGGGGGGGATATGAAATGGATTCATACCTTTTCCAAGAGTATTTGCGTATAAGTGAATATAACGACTCCAACTAGAATTGAAACTCGGCTCTCCGATTAAAAATTCCGAGCCATTATCCGTTACACCATCCGCACATCCAAGCTTACAGCACCTGGTATTCCCCAGTTGTCACCCATCAAGGTATTGACCAGACTCGACGTTGCTTAACTTCGGTGATTGTACGAGAACCGATGTTTCAACGTGATATGTCCTTAAGCCACACAGACGATGATATTCAGTTTTTCTCTTTCTTCTTTTACATTTTTTAACTTCCCGCTTGCTACACTTGACTAAATTTCCTTATTCCGACTTGTATTCTTGTTGAATATCACTGGGTGACGGTCAGGCGATACGGGATTCATGGGTCTCTCCTTATCAGTCGAAGTGTCAATTCCGAGTGAACTGACCCCTCTTCAAACCGTTATCTGATATTTTTGAGTTTTGAATTGCTACGATTGTTCTTGGTAAGTGGATTCGTTTCCTATTGCAACCTTTGCGGTAGTTTTATCGAGATAAACACTTTCAGTTAGTTTGGAGTTCGACCGACATTTCGTAGATGATATTTTGTGTGTCGATAACCAATTTTACCCTCCAAAAAATCGGGGGTGGGTAGAATCAGTCCAAAATAATCTAGGGCGGGGAGAGTCAGTCCATAGCAAGGCGGGGAGAGTCAATCCAAAATAATCGGGACAGGAATAGTCAATCTCAAATAGTCGGAGAGGGGAGGTTCAGTCCTGAATAAACAGGGCGGTTAGAGCCAGTTTAGTTGTTGACGCCTCGAAAAAAAAAAATGATTGGTTTAATTTCGTGAACAAAGATTTGGAAATTTTTTTCATAACTTGCAGCTTCCCCTCCTCTCCGTCATTAAATTGGTTGCAGGAGATACGTACCCCGAAAAAGCTTTCCAGCTTAGCTAGGTTAAGTTTTATTTTCAAATATTTGTGATTATTTTCTTCTATATAAGTTTTAACCGAGTAAAAGTTTCTGTAGTTTTTTGGTTTCCTGCTCTTTTGCCATTCTTTCCACCCTCCTCTACGCCCATTAATAGCGGAGGAGGTGAATACGTTTTAAGAGATGGTTTTCATATTTTTTTTTCATTCAGCACATAGCCAGCGCATCTAGCCATAGAAATATTCAGTCTTTAAGCATAATAAAAAAAAAATTCACCCTGAAGGAAAAAAATAAAATGAAAAGAACATAGTTCCACATAACTAAAAAAAGAATATGTTATACAAATATTTAACTCTGTAAATTATTGAAGAATTTAAGTCTCTTCCATGCATGGAAAAAATAGAAATTCTATCGAAAAAGTCACCTTTCAAATTAAAAAAAGTCAACACTGTAGTTTACAATGTTATTCTCAACTTGGCTTTGTACGCTTAGGACGAGTAAAAATGAAAAATTTAATGTTTGTTATTTTTCGTTGATACCCGAATTTGAAGCTAATCGACAATGGTACTATTGCTACGACTGAGATTATTATAATGTTACCATGTTTATGTTCTAATGAAAAGTTCACAATTTGATTGCTGAACTAAGCGCAAATTTCTTGGACCAAGAAAAACACGTGTTTCCACATTATCATGCGTGTCGATGTATGCAAATATTGCTTTGCGGGTTTATAAATATATTTCAATTAGAAAGAGATTTTAATCTATTAATGGGTAAAAGAATCTATAAAAGTATGTATCTATGGTTAAATGATTAGCAAAATTGTATACGGTTTGGTATTGTTCGTCTTACAATCATGGACACGCTCACAGACTATAATAAATTAAGGCTAGTAAATAATTGTATACATTGACGTGCCAATTTATCTGTCTCTGACTTAACAAATTTATTTATCTACCTATCGAAAGATTTGGCGCTGTAAAAGTGTTAGCCTGACTAAGAAAGCATTTCAGAAAAATCCCGTACTTGGTTATCTGGTTCCTCTTACGACATATCAACTCTAGTTAGTGTCGCGGTAACTATTGTTGAATGTTTAAACGGAGGATTCGGTGAGTATCGAACTCGCTACTCGTAGTTGTCAATCAGACTAGCCTCGCTAATCATTACTTCACGCCGAGGCGCTTGGCAAGTGCCTGAGATACCGGTTGGGTTGAGTATTTTTCATTTTTTTGCTTGCCATCTATCTATCTATCTATCTCAGTCTGATTCTATCTATCTATCTATCTCAGTCTGATTCTATCTATCTATCTATCTCAGTCTGATTCTATCTATCTATCTATCTATCTCAGTCTGATTCTATCTATCTATCTATCTATCTATCTATCTATCTCAGTCTGATTCTATCTATGCTTCTTAACATCATTTAGTTCTTTCTTTCTATTCTTTAATGCTCTTCTTCTTTAGTTTTAGTTTGCAATGTTTCCCTTTTTACGATCCTTCTACTTTGTCTTGTCCCTCCCACTCTTTCCACCTCTTTCCAGCTTTTCCCGCCTATTACTTTCATCTTAGTCACATCGAAAGAGTTTCGTCAGACAAATAAAAGATGATTTTGTTCGCTAATGATAGAAGTTGCTGTTGCTTTCATTCATCTTGATACATGTAAGAAACAATTAATCTTTTTTCTTTTCCTGCTTCAGCAATTGTTTTCTTTTCCTTTCTTTTTTGCCAACCAATAGTGTATTGTTTTTTTTCCTACTTCTTTGTTCATACCTTAATTTTTAATTTAATCACTTTTACTTCAGCATTTCTTTCACTCGGAAAGCTGTTTATTGTTGTTCTTCATTTTCACTTCTTTTACTCTTTTAGTTTTTTTCACCCCTCTCCGCTTAGAACTCTCTTTTTCTCTCTCTCTCTTTGTTCACATTACAGTTCTTTCGTCTTTTTCTATTTTCTTTCTTTTTTTTCCTTCACTTTCTTTTTCTGGCTACTTTTCGCTTCAATCTCTTTCTTTGTTTACGCCACCATGTTTCTATTTTTTATTTTCTTTTGGTTTTTCCCCGACTGCTACCTGAATCTCTTTCTTTGTTTGCGCCAGTCTCTCTCTCTCTCTCTCTCTCTTCTTTTCGTCACTTACTTTCTTGGCTACTTTCCACTTCAATTTCTTTCTTTGTTTTCGCCGTGTTTTTTTTCTTTACTTTACTCTCTCTTTGTTTTTCCACTTTTCCCCGGATCTCTTTCTTTGTTTACATCTCTCTCTCTCCTTGTTTTTCTATTTTTTTCTTCTTTCCCTCTTCCTTGTTTTGCCACTTTCCGCTTCAATTTCTTTCTTTGTTCACGTCTCTCTCTCTCTCTCTTTTTTTTCTGTTTTTTTCCCCTTTTCTTTATTTATTCAACCCCTCTGTCCCCTTTCACCTTCTTTTATTACCATAACTCCATCTTTTTTTTTTTTTTATTGGCTTTCATTTTCTTTGTATTTATTCCGCTCCCTTCATTATTTTTGTCGCTTTCTCTCCCCCTTCTCTCTTTTCCCGCGTTCATTTTTCCCTTCTGTTCACAACTGCGGCCCATTCAATCTCCCCCTTCGCAAGACTCACTGTTTCCGCTACAAACTCCAACGACGGATGCCTGCACAACTGGTTCCATTACTTGTGGTTTCCTCTCCGGAATTATCCCTCAGTCTACTGGCAATTCAGGAAACGGAAATGACGACATTAGGAAGTCGTTTAACGAGTTTCCTGCCCGAACTGACTTCATCTTCACCTACTCCATCGTCTTTCCCCTCGTCTTTCAGATTTCTCGCCAGTCTTTATTCTCCTTTTCTTCCCTCGCCTCGTCTTCTCTTGAAAACCACTTAACGCCTCTCCACAATCATTCTTCCTATACAGTCATTTGATTAACGCTTTTATTTCACTTGCACTTCTTTCTTTCTTTCATTCTTTCTTTTTATTCTTTTCTTTTATTATTTCTTTCATCCTTTGATTTTTCGTTCTTTACATTTTTTCATAATCATTTGATTAACGCTTTTGTTTCACTTTTTCTTTCTTTCTTTATTTTGTTTGCCGTTCGTCTTTCTTTCTTTTATTTATTCTTTCCTTTTATTCTTTCCTTTTATTTTTTCTCTCTTCCTTTTCTTTTTTGTTCTTTACTTTCATAATCATTTGATTAACGCTTTTATTTCAATTTCACTTTTTCTCTATTTCTTTCTTTCGTTCTTTCTTTCTTACTTTCTTTTGTTTGTCGTTCTCTTTTCTTTCTTTCTTACTTTCTTTTTGCGTTCTTACTTTGTTTTATATTATTTTACTTTCTCTTCGTTTTTCTCTTGATTTCCTTTTCCTCTTCTTTCAACCAATCAGCTCCATTAAACGTTCATTTGTAATTGTGATTTTCGTTCTTTAATCATTCTTTCTTCTTTCCACAACGTTTCTTCTTCTTTTTATCTTTCACTCTTATTTCTCTTTCCTCTTCCTCCTTTTATCATTCTCTTATTCATCGTCCATATTCCCTTCTTTTTTCTTCTACTTTGATTACGATTATTCTAATGTTACTCTCTTCATGTTCTCATGAAAAATTCCAATTTGTTCCCCTTTTTGTTATTCTTCTTTTTCATTTTCCATTTCTATTTCATATTATTCTTTTGCTTCCTTTAACATTTTTTCTTTTTTCTTTCTTTTTTTGTTCTTCACTTTCACGTTTAGCTTTCCCTTCAGATCTTTAATAAACATGTTGACTGATCGCATAAACATTACAACGTTTAACTCAAATGTTTATTTAAGAATTTATATATATATATATATATATATATATATATATATATATATATATATATTCATTTATTATAAAATATTACACGAGGTTACTTTATTGTCAGCTTTTCAAAAGGTTTTTGGTGCTTTGGCATCAGTTGCAAATGTCAATGAATACCTTAGAATAAACCAAATAGAGTGGGTAGGTACAGTCCAGCGATGTGACCCACAGCGCCAAATGTGTAAAAAAATCATTTCATTTTCATTGTTATTCTTCATGTATTCAGTCATTAAAATATTGTGTGTTGGGCCGAACCTATGTTCCTTTTTTTTTTTAATCATTTCACTCTAAGCAAGGCAAGCAGTTATTGAGTATGAAAGAATGTAAGAAAAAGATAAAAATTAAGGGCCAATAACAAGAATTAAGAAGACAGAAGATAACAATTGAGATTGCATTTAAATTTTTGAAGATCAAACTTGACTGGAAAGCAAGAAACCGAAAGAGAGTTACACAAACGAGAAGTGCGAGAAAGGGAACTGTTAGCTTAGAACTTACGATTCCATTGAGTTATTCA